GAGTGGGACCCAATTACATTTTCATTCAATGTTGCCTCTGAATGGGAAAAGTAAATATGACATTCTCCCTCTCATTTGTTTGAGAGAGTTTTTTCCTTCAACTGGTTCTCCAGTGATAGCAGTGAAGGAAATATATATCACGTTTATAAAAATAACTGCATACTTCATTCTTTTTTTTAAAATTTATTTATTTTTTATTTGTGAACATACTGTACAGAGGGGTTACAATTACATGGGCAGGATAATGCGTACATTTCTTACCAAGCATTGCAGCCTCCTCCTTTGGTTTACCCTTCACATCCCTTCCCAGCCTCCCCCCTCCCCCCCAATCCCAACCCACCTCCCCCCCCCCCTCCCCCCCCACCGACGTTGTAAAGCTCGTTTTGGACATGACAACTTATACTTCTCGTTGTTGCATCAGGTCCACCTGTATCCTTAAACAACTGTTTTTTCCCCCTCTCCTCCACAAGTTATACTGGCATCAAATATAGTGAAAGCAGGGGTTATACTGTGGGGGAGGGACAGACAAAGCAACAAAGAAATAATCTTATAAATGCGTTAGAAACACATGCATGAAAGAAAAAACATTAAAATACATATCTAAGGGTTCATTTTCCTGACATCATATTATCTGACCTTTTCCGCTTGACTCATACATATACTAGATATTGCAAATAAGGGAAACCATGGGACCTATGTTTCTTTGGGCCTGGCTTACTTCACTTAATATAAGTTTTTCCAAGTTTTTCCATTTCCTAACAAATGGGGCAATGTCATTCTTTCTGATGGAGGCATAGAATTCCATTGTGTATATATACCACATTTTCTTGATCCATTTATACTGAGGGGCATCTGGGTTGGTTCCATATCTTACCTATGGTAAATAATGCTGCAATGAACATAGCTGTGCTGGTAGCTTTAGTGTGGTCTTGTTTGTAAACATTTGGGTAAATGCCCAAAAGTGGGATTGCTGGGTCATAGGGGAGCTCTATGTGAAGTTTTTTGAGGAACCTCCATACTGCTTTCCAAAGTGGTTGAACATACTTCATTCTTATTCAATTTACCTTAGGAAAAAATCATTAGCACAGAGGAATGATTCCTTTTTCAAAAAATAAACGAAAATGAACTAGAATCTTAGAAAAATTTAAACTTTTAATGATACTTTAAATCTTTCATATACCTTACTTTGCTGAAGATTATTCAGGGAAATATCTAGCAATGAGATGTGTTTCTTACACATGGGTAATACATAAATTCTATAAAAATCCATATGCATTTTAGCAACAGATCAAAGCAATGTCATATGTCACAATGCTGTGTGCTGACTGGCATTTTTGTATTTCCATATAGTATTTTACAGCCTGGCTGAATTCTATTGTTAGATTCCAAAAGATTTTTATGAGTGCATTAGGATTTTTTTTGATAGTAATATTTATTTTTCATATTTTTATTGTCAAGATTACAATTATGGGGTTACAATTGCATATGTAAGGTAATAAGTACATATCTTGTCAAACTTGTTACCCCTTCCCTCATTCTTCTCCTACTTTTTCTCCTCCACAACCCCTCTCATACTTTGTCTCACTACTGTGTTGTTCCCCTTCCCTTCCCTAATTCAAATAAATGTACGTACAACACCAGGGTACAAAAATAAAATACAGTGACAACAGAGGATATGCTGTAGAGGGAAGAACATACAAAAGAAACAAGAACAATCACATAGTACATTAAAAACAACATATTAAAGATCATGACAACTTCAGGCAGAGAGGTTTACTTATTATTTCTTTGATAATTTTCTTTATTGAGTCCATGTATCATGTTGAAAAGAAATGGTGAAAGCAGTCATCCTTAGAGGAAAACTTTCAGGTTTTTTTTTACTAGTAAGTAAAGTTAGTTGTGAATTCTTCATAGACAGCTTTCATTGTTGTTGAGGGATTTTCTTCCATTACTAATTTTGAGTGTTTTATCATGAGCTACTGAATCTTGTCAAATTCTTCTTTTGCATATATTTAGAGAAATATGTGGTTTGGGGTTTTCATTCTGTCAGTGAGCTTGTGGATCAGATCTTGCTTTTCAACTCCACAATTTCTATATTTCTCATTTAATTTTCCATAATTATATCACATGATCACTGGCAATAGGAATGGAATCATTATGTTTGATTGACAATTCAAGATTTATCTCCAGAGCTATACTGAAATTTGTACACATCTAGAATTTAAATAAGATTGAGATTTTGCTATCAAGGATAAAAAGAAAGAAAAAATTATGAATAGATTGTAGATTTTAAATACATATTCAACTTAAACTATATTATTAATTATTTAATTTATATGGAAATAATTTAGGGTACATTCGGAATTTTAGCATTGCAAGCATAGTGTTATCAGTCTCTGGGAATTTTCAATCTGTGTAATTATATATATATATATATATACATATACATATATATATATAACTGGTATTTAAGAAACCATAGATATTTATATCAGTATATGACACAATAAATTTCTTTGTCTATACTTGTTGACTAGATGTAGTTACTAGAAATTAAAAACTAGTTTGCAAAATACCTAATGAAATTTCACTTTTGTGTTATGAAATCTCAAGAAAGCAGCTATAAAAATGCTCATTTTGTTCTGCAATTTTTGTCTTTCACTTGCTTTGTGATCTCTTGTATTATTTTTAAAGTGCTCAATTGGGAAGTAGTTGAAGAATTCAGATATGTTATGTCTTGTTCTAGTCCATGACTTCTAGAGAACTTCATGTTTTTTTTTTTTTTTTTTTGTCTGTCGTGGGGCTTGAACTCTCAGCCTGGGCATTGTCCCTGAGCTCTTCAGCTCAAGATGAGCACCTTACTGCTTGAGCCACAGCACCACTTCTGGTTTTCTGGTGGTTAATTGGAGATAAGAGTCTCACAGACTTTCCTGCCTGGGCTGGCTTTGAATCTTGTTCCTCAGATCTCAGCCTCCTGAGTAACTAGGATTACAAGCGCCCGGCAAAACTTTGTATTTTTAAAATGAAGAATACACAGACTATAAATCCAATTATTTCACTCAGTTGTCCTGCTTCGTTTTGGGTGTGCTTGCAGGTCTACAACTCATCTTCTCTCTGATGTGTTTGTGGGTTTATAACTCATTTTTCTTTGTCATCCTTTTAGAGAAAAAAATCTATGATTAAAATATCATTGATGTCATTTTCCTTTTTATCCTTTCATATTTAAAATGACATACTATACACAAGATTCAATAAGAAGCCATAAAAATGCTCTCTATAGCCATATTATGTTAGAAATTATTAAGTACATTAAAAACAAACTATGGCTCTACATTTTAGTGAACTCGAAAACTAGTGAGCAAACCAAAAATAAAACAAAATAAGTGTGACTAAATTTCTGAACAATGAGCCATACTACAAAATATATAGCAAGTTGATCTTTTTAAAGGGATTCCAGTGATATACTTTATCCAGATAAAATTAAGCTTCCTGCTGAAAATTAACACATAGCCAAGTTTAGGAGAAAATCCTAGACTCTAATAAAATGTTACATTTCAGTAAATATCCTGTCAACTTAGTAAATGGCAAAATGAAAATATATATAAATAATAGTTTGACATGTTGTCCTCACATAGCAGAAGAGTATTGTATTCCATCAGATGAACCATTATTCCTCAATTTAAGAATTCTGCAATTTAAAAATCCTCTCTTGAAGACAATCCTAAATTGTCTTCGTTGCTCACATTCACTGTGCTACAACTTGGGACACCTGAGCTCCACACAGTGCCTTGTCTTTACTAACAACAGGACAACTCTCCTCTATAGCCTTTGAAACTCCAGCTTTGATATTCTCTTGGGTCTTTTTTATCATAGAATTTGGAGCTAGCATTGATACATTTTAACCCTTATCTAAAGCTTTATTGTTCAATATATGTAAGGGTAAGGATTTTATGATTTATTTGGTGAATAGTCAATCATCCTTCTAATTATATTTATTATATGACACTAAAATTCTGTAATAGTTCAATGTCTAGCATTTGTCTCATAATATTATTTCTTCCTTAACCTTCCAATATGTGCATTAACTAGAGTAAATATCACACAAATCAAGATACAAACTAGAGTTTTATTACATTACTTAAAGGGGGAATTAAGAGGATGTTTAGCTACTTATGGATCTGCCAACGTCCTATATCCTTACAATGTTTTGCTCTGACTTCTCTGCTGGATTTTTATTTCTATACTTGTGGTCTCATTGTGAAAAGGTTTTTTGTTTTGTTTTGTTTTTTGGTTCCAGAATTCACAGACTCACACGGCACTGCAAGGCAGGGAAAAAGAGAAGCAATAGTACTGGTTCTCTTCTTGAATTTTAGCATAGAAGAAAAGATTTCTCAGCAGCAGCCCAGAAGATGATCCTTTGTGTAAAACTGATAGGATTTGTCACACAGTCTGTAAGGAAGCCTGGGAAAGTAATGTTTAGTGAAAAGAAAGGCATTTGTTATTACCCATAAGAATTTATTCTCAGGATCTAAGTAAAAACAAATTTTATTTAGAAAATGAGGCTGGTGACATGCAGAAAACTATAGTAATGACTTCCTTTGACAATAGAAAATAGGTTTTATTATCTATAAGATTTGACAGTCATAGTATTAATGATTAGGATAATTACAGTATCTACCCATTTGGAGTTTACCATCTCAAATAACAACAAATATCAGAGGGCCTTGTGGGAGTTTAACAATTTCATTCACAACATCAGTCAAATTACATCATTTTATTTCCATATATACCTTACAACATCTATGCCATTTTAACATCTCAGACACAAGATCTGTAGAGTCCAATTTGGGCTGAGTTGGTCAAATCTGCAAAACAATACTTTCTGCTTTCTTGTTTATGCTATAATGTTAAGTTTGGGTGAGAAAGGCCTGGCATAGAATGTGCCAGGGATCTCAGAGCAACAAGGAGCTGATTGAGGGACGAATTTAGGCTCTTTTTTTCTTGTCCATTTATTGCAACTTTAGGCTGAATAGAGCCATAGGAACTGTGAAAAGGGCAGAGAAGAATGGTGTCAGAATATTTGACAATGGGTGGGATTTTTAGATATGATGTATAGGGAGATGAGTCCCTGTGGCTAGATACATGTCTGCTTGCTCTTCCATTTTCCACACCTTGAATAGGGGCTTTATATTGTGGTTCAAGATTGCATTATACTTAGCACACCTGACTAAAACTCCTTTGTCAACACTGCCTCCTTGATCAATGCTAAATGTGCTGGAGGCAGGGTGGTTAATAGGAATGTTATTAACTATAAAGGTGAGATCTTTCCTCTATATTTGCCTGAGGATCACCATAAAGTACAAAATAACCAGCACAGAGTATTTCCATACCTTTTTAAAGTTTAACAAAGTTTATTTAGTAAGTCAGGGCCAAGCAAGGAAGGGGATAAAGGAGCACCCACCAATACACAATGGGATGAACAAAGGCCTGCAAATAGTACCCCTTGTGCTGGATACACTTATGTCTACTAAGAAATTCCATCTAGGCAGGTGGTCATGGCACTTAGCAACCTTCAATCCAAAATAGGAGACAATGAATTTAGGATAGCTCTATAATTGTATTTGGATGTTACTTACCCAAACTTGGAGACAATGGATTTAGGTGGCTCAAAACTTGTAAGGTTTTGTCTCATGGATATCTGTTTCTTAGTACCTCCAGAGAGAAATCAGACCTCAGTGATGAAGATGTTGGCTGCTAAGTAATCTTTGATGTAGAGCAGCAAAATTAGATTAACCTTTGGAAAGTACATGCATCTACCACATCCCTTTCTTTAGATGCCCAATGAGTTTCAGTTTCCCCAGATGAATAATTTTGTTCAGTGAATAAAAGGTAATTCTCTGAGCAGAAAGGAGTGCTGAAGGTAATTATTTTTGTAAGGTCTAAAATATTCTTACTCTTCCCAAGAAGTTTTCCTGTCGTTCCTATGAAAGAAACAATCTAGTTCTGTATAAATGAAAGCTAAAGAGACCCTCTCCTTCTCTTGTTTCATTTATTTCCTAGCATGTTATTATTATTTCATTTATAGGAATAGGCTGAAATAGCATGCTGGACTTCAAATTTATCTATTTTCTGTGTGTGAAAGTATACTTTCTACCCACATCAATACACTTTGACTTTACGGCTCAAGAATGCTATGAGAATATTCCTTACATTTGTGAAGCAAAAACAATACCAAGTATCCCATTTGATTCAATTATTTGAAATCCATCTAAAACTGAACATAGAGCAAAAAGACCGATGAAACTAGAAATAAATGCAATATCTCTAAAGTACATTCCAACATGCTATTTTGTAAAAAGACATTTTTCCAGAGCAAAATGATATATTTAGATTTCCTATCCAAATTAATTAAGAAGCTGATATATCTACATTTATAAAAATAACTCACCTGGTACTTGTAGCTTCCTATTTTACATGAGCCAGAATTATATTAAAATCCTCCAGTGTGCTTCTGAGTAATTTTTTCTCACATTTAATCTGATCTAGAAATAACTATTAATACTGTAGTGTTACTTTCTTCATTATCCTGGCTATTCATCAGGGATAATTTGATAATATGTTCAGAGGTAGAGAAATCACTAATTTAGTCTAACGTATCTACTGTGCACATTATTTGATACTGATATTTCTTAAGATTTTATTGAATACTTATTTCAATATTTTTGTATGGTTAATATTAAGTTTTAATATTATTTAAATTAGATGAGGCATACACACATATGTAAGATTTCATATTACATATTGTGCCCATATTTCATATCAATCATTCATTCTTTAGTACTCATTACATTATTTTTTATTGGGGGATTGAGAGGAAAACACTGGGAGAAAACAAGTGATGAGGTGACATTGTACCAAAAGAAATGTATTCATTACTTCATTTATGTAACAGTAATCCCTCTGTACATCACCTTTATAATAACAACAAAAAATAAAAATAAATTTAAAAAAGGAAATATTTTAGGAAAAAAAGACATTGCCAGATACACATTAGACACCCTGATTTTTGGGCATCCTCACAGGCCTGAAACATAACATAAGGTGCATGACTGCAGGGAGAAGTAGGTGATGTAGAAGGCATCAGAGGGCAACCGTAAACAGTTGACTTGGAGAAGTTCAGAATTACTGAACTTTAGATCTGCAAGAGAAACAATGGACCCTAACATTAGGCTCTTATCAGAAGGATACCGAAGGTGGAAAATTTCCCACAGTTGGACTTTAAGCAAGGGAGAAGGAAAGTCTCCACGAGTTCTACTGACTTACAATCTGTCATTCTGCAAAAATACAGACTGATATGAGTTTTGTGGTATGGGCAGTACGGGGCCCCTGCATTTCCTAGCTTGCTCACTGGTGCTATGGTAGAGAATTGTCTTAAGAGAGGTTCTTATAATCAAACTTATCAGTTTAAGAGTAGAAACCTCTACATTTTCCTGTCTCCAAGCCCCAAAGACCGCCCATCTCCATTGGCTAAAAGAGCAACAGCCCTATTGATCAGTTTGGGTCAAGAAACTGGTTTAATGGTTCCCGGACATAGAACTACATCGTGGGAAATTTCAACACTGTTGAAAACAGCAGCCCAAATCACAAGACCAGCTGTGTGTGAATATAAGAGATCTGAGACAGACCAGTGTACAGGGCATGTGGGACCGACCATTTAGTGCCCAGGAAGGACAACTTGCTTTGGTCTGATGGTTTTCCCCACTTGTAAGAGCCCCAGAGAACTTTGGTAAGAACACAGCTGCTACACAGGCATTTCTGATGTCCACACGCACATAGGCAGAGGGAATGTTTCTGGTGCAAAGGACATCTCTTTTTGTAGATGACATGATTCTATAATTAAAAGTTCTGAAACATACCACCAGAAGTCTGGTAGATCTGACACTTTGCAAAGCAGCAGAATACAAAATCAATATATAAAATCTATAGATAGCAGATAAATACCACAAATGTTCAGGCAATTCTTCCTTCTCAATAAACATAGTGCCCCAAAGGCAGGGATTATGGAGCAAGGGTGCTTTTCCCTTTGCTACTAGTCATGCCGTGGCTAGACTCACTGTGCCAGATGCCTTAAAAACTATTTCGAGTGTTTCTCGCAATAGAAATTATTCCTTTAAAGATTTTGGACTATCCATAGAGTGAGGGAGTCTAGTGTTTCCTTTTTCTGGACATCCTGCCCAAGTCACCAATCTTTCACATTTTCAAAAGCATCTCAAAGTAGCTACTTTTTGGGAGCAATAATAAAAGCCATAAACAGGATAATGGATGAGAGATTTAGTTAAGGACATGAGGGAAAATAACACCAAAATGGCACCAAGGGAGGCAGGTGTAAGCAAAGAAATGTCCATGGGACTAGACATAGTGTTAGAAATTTTGGCTACAAGTAACAAAACACAAAGTGACACAGCTGAACTATCACATTCTGGATCACTTAGGCAACTTGTCTCTCAGAAAGAATGTGAGTGTCTTAAAGCCTGTGGGTTTTCAAAGAGGTTTTTTTTTGCACATACTTACAAATATAAAATTATTATTTCCTTTTTGTCCCAAGATAATCTTTGCTAAATTCTCCTCTTTTCCTTCATTTTTGTCTTGTAATAAAAATAAACTGTGGAAATTAGTTACTGCCATTGAGATAATCCATATCTTTTCATAGTATGAATTTAGTAAAATTTAAAATAAACCCAGAAATCAGAAGTCTGGTATTTCTTTAGCTTATTTATAAGAATCACAGTTGGTCCTAAAGAGAAAATGAGCTGCTTTCATCCTTGATTCTGTTATACTTCCAGAAAATAATTATTTTTAATTAACAAATTTCCATAATTGACTGTTGGAGAAGATTATGAAACTTAAGTAAGGCAAATTCTACCCAAATCCTTAATTATTCATGAACATTTTGGCATCCTGCTTGGCATCCAATTTCAGTCAACTACCACATTCTAATAAAATAATCAGATGTCTTTCTGTCTTTGGTTTTCAATAATACCTGCAAAAATGTGAGCAATTAGTAATTATCTTCAAGTTATTCTGCTGAACATTTATGTAATATGTGTAGTGATTAAGTGTGATTATATATGCAACTAACTTGTATTAATACTTACAGGGCTATGGATTGAGTGGTAGAAAGCATGCATATGACCATGGGTTTGATTCAGTCCTCCATTTTTTCTGCACCTATCTCTATGTCCTCTGGAGCTTGAGCATCTTCAAGAATACTATCTTTTGACAGTAATTTTAAGTTTGAGAATATTCAGAACTATCTTCCTTTCTGATACTCATTGCAAATCTGAGCATCCCTGAGACACCTCTTACGTTTGATAATTTAGTAGAAGGACCCACAGAATTGACAATCCCAATCCTGAGTATGAGTTATGACTGTGAAAAAGGGAACATACAAAGTACGAAGCTTCCTGTTGTTCTCTGCCAGTGGATTGTGGAAACAACATCTTTTTCTAGTACTATGTGTGATAACAAGAGACTAGAGAATGAACAAATATGGAAGCTCTCCAAAGCTTTGGTATCTATAATTTTATCTGGGATACAATTACACATTTATTTGACTATCTGCTGCATGGCTGATCCTAGATTTGGCCCTTGCAGAGGTTAAGCTGATTCTATGTGGACCAAGTCATGCTGGCAAAAATCACATTTTTTATTGCTGTCTATCTAACATGACTCAAAGACCCCAGGTAAACAAAAGTGTTTGTAGTGGAAAAGACATTCCAAGTCCTATGAAGGGGCAAGCAAGAGGAAAGGCCAATCCTCATTAGGTCAGATATCTCAAGTCCAAGCCATACTCATTTTGCTTCTAGATTATTTCTAAGAGTTAAGCATATCCCTGTTTTCTTTTTATATAACCTAAAAATTTCACCCAAAAATCCGAAAGATAAAGTGGGTCAGATTCCCTCCTTATTCAATATACTCAAAATATGATTACTCACAGTAGCAGACATAAAGGATGAATATGTGTGGAGATTATATGAGGATTGTATGTAATAAAAATAAGTAATAAAGTCATAAGTAATAATTATCATATGTGGGATTAAAAACTTTAACTGTTGAAATATTATGATGAAGAAGAAATAAGAGGTTAACTAATGTTTAATAAACATCCCGGGCTTTGAGTTAGTAAAATCAATTTTTATTAAGAATATTTAAACTTATTTTCAAGCTTAGAAATTGAGCATGAACTTTCATGTATACCTAAAAGACATACTTCTCTGACATAATCTTTTCTGGGGAGCACCAGGTATTCATACTTTATCTATTCTGATCTCTTTGCTCTTTCTCCTGACTTTCAAGCTACTTCTGGAACAAAGCGTTTGCATTTTCCCATCCCTCTGTTGGGAACATTTTTCTCCAGTTCCTTAGATTGTTAATTTTTCCTCTTCCCTCAAAACTTAGCTTGACTATTACCTCTTCCTGGGAGCCTCATTGTCACTATGTCTGCAGTAGTTTTCCCTTTGTAGTTATTGTTGGACATATTACCATCTATTGTTCCCATAAGCCATTTTAACTGACAATTTCACTTATTTACTTACTGTCTATTATTCTCATAAACCAATTTTAACTGACGTTTTTTATTTACTTACTTACTAGCTGTCTTTTGCGGTGAGAATTAAGTACCTTGAAGGCATATATATATATTCCTCCCTCCCATTGGTATATAGAACAGTGTTTAGCACCTAGCATTCACTCAAAATGTTAAACACCCAGCTGACTGGCTGGTGCTTATCCAACCATAAGTTTTTGTATTGATCTGGTTCCTTTCCCCCTGCATGACATTTCAGAAGACAGTGTTTTGAACCACATCTTTCATTCAAGTTACCTTTCAGTCAGATCTTGCACAATAATATATTATTGTGAAATAATCTATATATCTAGAGTGGCAAAGGCTCCTAAGGAGTCCAAACACTCAAACGAAGCATTGATACAAAGAAAGGCTCAAACTATTTTTTTGAAATGCCAGGCTTTCTTAATATATTCTAAGAATTTATTGTTTTGGTTCAGCCTTTCCCCCCCTTGGGATACTGTCTGCTTAGCTGCAGACACAGAAGCTGTTTCTCTCCAAGTATTTAAAGTGACATATTTGATAGCTGCCACAGGGTCACTGAAAGCAGAACAGAAGAGAGCCTTATGCTGCAGCTTGGTCCCTGGATGAAGTGCTTCTCAGCAAATGTCTGGGTATGCAGACGAGAATGCAGTCTACTTTTATGACAGTTGTAACACACACCATCTGTCTTTCTGAGGATTTCTTTTTTCTTCATTAACTGCCGATCCATTAGATGTAATACATTCTCCTGCCAATATTTTTCACCAGCAATACTTTACTGGAGTTTAAATTAACAGGTGCTCAGCTCACTTTTAAAAGAAATCTGAGGACTTGGGAATTTAGAAACATGTTTACTGGAATATATTTCATAGGTTTAACATCAATTTTGTACATGAATCAGACTCAGTTTATAAAATATTGTTCAATAAATAACATATACATAGAAAGATACTTTGTATGTTCATCAGTTATTCTTTTTTTATTGTGAAAATACTGTACAGAGGGGTTACAATTACACGGGCAAGATAATGAGTACATTTCTTATCAAGCATTGTAGCCTCCTCCTTTGTTTCCCCTTCCCATCCCTTCCCATCCTCCCCCGCGCCCCCCTACCTCTCACCCCCCTACCCCTACCCTCCCCCACCCCCGCACCAAAGTTGTAAAGTTCGTTTTTCAACATAACGACTTGTACATCTCATTGCTGCAATGAGTCCACCTGTATCCCTATTTAAACGATTTGTTTTTCCCCTTCCTCTCCACAAATTATACCGACATGAATGAAAGCAGGGGTTATACTGTGGGGGAGGGACATACAAAGCAACAAAGAAATAATCTTATAAATGTGTTAGAAACAATCGCATGAAAGAAAAAACATTTGAATACATATCTAGACATTTTCTACTTCTTGTGGTATAAAGCCTTCCTTCCTTGTAGCTCTTTGAATTATACTTCTAGCTCTTTTAACTATGTTGTTACCTATATTTACCCTATCATGTCATAGTATACTATACCAGAACTTCTAGCTCTTGCCTTACTGTAACTTATACCCATTGATCAATCTTTCCATATCCCTTCCCAGATGCAGCATTAGTTTTTATCAATACTAAATATCAATATATATTGATGTTCTATATATGTTTACTGATTGTAAAATAGTTAACTTTGAAAATTCAAAGAAACCCTAAGATCACATTTGGTTATTAAGTTACATTTAATATTTCTTAAAATAACTTTTAAGTTTTTAAAGTAATAAAATTATGAGTAAAATGTAGAAATAACTTGGAAATAAAAGAAATCCTTGATTAAATAGTTATTATTACCAGGAAAAAATTAATCAACTTGTAAGCAGTAGCCATGGTTTTAGGTACTGGCAATCTGCAAGGAACAAAGTACAAATTCTTTCAATTATAACATTTGTTTCAGGAAGGCTGACAAATATGTAACCTAACAAAATAAAACATTATTGAATGGTGATAGTTAGTTACTATAAGGAAATAGAGAAAGTTCCTGGAATGTGCTGGATGAGGAGGGAGAGTTCAAAGAAGGGTCCCAACAGCATCGGAAAGAAAAACTGTATACTGAAAGAGAAGTGACCACTAAAACAGGACTCTTGAGAGCAGATTGTAAGGGCTGAAGACAAAAATTATTTTGTTGTGTTAAAAGAGCTGGCAGGTCAATGTGTGTAGGCTTTGGTAACAGAGAGGAGGAAGAGATAATGATGAATGGGAAGAAATGTTTTAAGATGGCTCACATTAGCAAGAAGCATGAGCTTTTTAAATGAGAACATTTTGAGTGGAAAATATTAAGAAAAATAAAAGCAATAATAAATGACAGAATAAAGTTATAAAACTGATAAATCCTGAAATTCTTTCAGCAAAACAAAAATAGTACACCAACTATTAGTAGACTAGGTTGTAAATGGAAAAATGGAGAAACAAAGTTTAAAAATGTAAAATGAAGAATATTGTACAAAAATAATTTTAATTATGAAAAGATTGATTTATCACTTTATGTTAATATATGTTGATACAATATTTTCCTAAGAAAAGGGAAGTTGCAGAAAAGCAAGATTCATTCAGTGTCATGGCCATTGTTTTTAATGTTGTTTTTGACATTCTAGGCTGATGTACTTATATGTGGAAAATAACTGAATATACATTGGTCAACGTGGAAGTGTAGTCATGTTTGTCACACTATAGTATTAGAGTAGTAAAACACTTGGGGAAAAAGACAAAATAATAGTTTAAATTCCAGTTTCCCACAATCAATTTGGATCTGGAACAAATTATCTCTTGCAACTTTCATTTTCTTACTTTTGAAAGATGGCTGGTGATGATTATTGGAACTATTTATGGACAGGAATGGGTTACTGAAGACCACTCAAGAGACAGCTAAGTGATGGCAGCACAGAATCCAGAGTCCACTTGTCTGGGTACAGTGGACATATCTACCACAGAGTAACTAAGTGGCCTTCATATATTTGTATTTCCATTTCCTTCTCTGAAAACAAAGCTAATATATAACCCACAGGCTTTTTGAAATGACTGAGTTATCTAATAAGCACAGAATAAACTGTAAAATATTCTGAGAAAGTAGAGGATAAATAGATACAAAATATGAAATTCTTAAAAAATTATTTTGGAGTAGTTTCTTCCTGGTACTGCTAACTGGGAAGTCTTCAATTTTTCCTTAAATTATGGAACATAAACTTGAAGAAACTGATGTACTATCCATGATTTGGAGATTAAGTACCTGTCTGCAAAATTAGGTAGGAAAAACCTAGTTGGTATTGTTAGCTGCTGAATTACCATCAGTTTGGCATATAAAAGTGGTTGAAATGCTGTGTGGAAAAACGAATCTTATGGTCCCTCATATTTTTATCTGTAGGGAATGAGAAGGCAACTGAGATTTGTAGGACCAACACTCAGCACTGTCTGACTTAAGGGTTGGGTTGGTGTGTGGGGAGTCATTGCTCTGCTTTGGTATAGTTCACACTCTCTTGAGTTATGCCTCCAGAATTTATTAACATTCTTACTAGTAGTAAATTAATTCACTTTCACATGCATCTTAATTTTTATAGTAAGTTGTTTTATGTCTTACTTATAAATTTTGATTTTAAGCATTGACAATGTAAATTACATAGTAAAGTATCTTTCCTTAAATTAAAAATATAATCAATAATAGCCTCTTGTTTTTTTCTGATTAAATGGCTGTATGTATTCATTTAATGTCATTGATATTATATATGTACATATACATACACACACATACATCCATATGACATCTTGTGAGTTTCCAAATGTCATTCTCTTTGACTTCTTTACATCTTATTTTGAAGGATGTTGATTTGTTGTTAGATGACATATACTTTTTGCAACTTAAATTTTATCTTTTTTATATTATTATTGTGAAAATACCATGCAGAGGGGTTACAATTACATGGGCAAGATAGTGGGTACATTTCTTATCAAGCATTGTTGCCTCCTCCTTTGTTTCCTCATACCATCCCTTAAATTCTATCTTTATAGTAGTCACAATTTAATTATCTAAATATTCTTAGGGGCCAGCTTTCTAATACTAACCATTTCCTTCCTAATAGGTAGGAAGGCAATTGATGAATTCACTCTAACCAATGCATTGCTGAAGCAACTGGATGGGAAATTATTGACAATACTTTGTCTGTACTCTAGCTCTTATAGGAAATGAAAACAAACTTTTTCCTTTTTAATCATAGTAGGATTTGGAGAAGTCTTGTAAAAGAGCTTTCTAAATCAAGCAGTTCATCATTTTTTCTAGCTATTCTAAATTTTTTTCTTTGGAAGGGGACAATGAAAGAGCTGCCCACTTGAGCTAAAGTGTTTTGAATTTTATTAGCTTGCTTTTATGTAAGTCTTAAGTTTCATCCTTAGTTTTGAATAGAGAACTCAAAAAGAGAAAAACAAAGAAAATTATTAGATCCATTGTAAAGATGATCATTATATCATCTGACATTGGTTTTACTTACTCCCTATTGATTTTTTAATAAACTACTTGCTAGAATTTTAAAAAATGAGACTCAAATTTCTGGACAAGAGCTAACAGATATAAAATAATGATGTGGATTTATCTCTCAAAGGTTTATTATTTTCTCTTTTCACTTGGTTCTGTGATTATTTCATTTACTTATATTATTCATGGGTCTTATATCTACTTATCTTTATATGTCATTTCAAATCTGAAATGGATGATACTATAACTAAATAAGCTAACTCAAATTGTCATTTCCATAATTAGAATTCTATTTATATACCTAATTCCAGGGCCAATCATTTGGTATAAAATTTTCTCTTTTTTTGAGATTTTAGTAAATATCTATAGATAATTACATTTGAATTTCATAAGTCAATCAGACATAGAAGTACATTTTAGATATCAGATGCAAATACCTCATTACTCAAGCAGTCATCCTTGAAAATAAAGGAATAAACAAAAGATCGTCTTCATGTGCTTATTAGCTTTCAATGCTTACTCCCTAGTGTTTTCCTTCATCTTAATAGTAAACAGATTGGGAAAGCAAGTATTCTGTAACAAAAAAAACTAAATTAGAAATTTGGAAAAGCAGTTATATTAATTTAGGTATTGTACACAGTATCAGAAATAAGCTTACATAAGATAGACCAAAAGACAAATATTTTATGTTGTTGTTGTTGTTGTTGTGGGGCCTGAACTTTAGGCCTGAGTGCTGTCCCTCAGCTCTTCAGCTCAAGGCTAATGCTCTACCACTTGAGCCACAGTGCCACTTCTGGCTTTTCTGCTTATGTGGTGCTGAGGAATCGAACCCATGGCCTCATGCATGCAAGGCAAGCACTCTACGACTGAGCCACCTTCCCAGCCCAAGACGAATCTTTTATATCAAAATAAGTTGGAGTTAGAACCAGTCAGATTACCAAGTGATAAAAAATATGATTTAGATATAAACGAAAATGTCCAACAGATGACTTTGAAGTGCTATGTAAATTAGCTTTTGTTTTCTTACTTAATATTAAGGTATTATCAATATATAAGGCAAGGAATATTATACAAGTTTTCACTAAAATACTGACATAAAAAATAACTGTTTAGGGGGCTGGGAAGGTGACTCAGTGGTAGAGCGCTTGCCTTGCATGCCTGAGGCCCTGGGTTCGATTCCTCAGCAAAAAGTAAAAGGCCAAAGTGGCGCTGTGGCTCAAGTGGTAGAGCACTAGACTTGAGCTGAAGAGCTGAGGGACCCAGGCCCTCAGGCACCCAGAGCCCAGAGTTCAAGCCCCACAACCGGACCCCCCCAAAAAACCAAAACTGTTTATTGAGTACTTAGTAAGTCTATCCAACTTTGTTTCATTCTATGTAATATGAGAATACCAGATGAATTGTTGTGCTGTGCCTGGTCCAAATTGTTTTCCTGTGGAACTATGAGTTAATAAATGCTTGTGTTAAGCTATTCAGTTCCAAGGTAACAGGTTTATGTTTCATGTTTCTTGAGCTATACATATAGAATTTAATTTATTTTGAAAGTTTCTTTAATATTTATTATTTATAAAAGCTTTTACTGTATCATGTTAAGCTCTTTATATGAATTTTTATGAATTTGACTTTGCAGATTTTGAAACTGAAAATGTAAGTGAAGATTGTTTTATTGCAAGTGAAGTAACTTAGCTAGTAACTACTACTTAACCATGGCAATAGTACTTACTATGGCTAAACTACTTCTGCTAGAAGGCAATAGTACTGCTTGAATTCAAACCATAGATGATAATTCTTCACAGTGGATATTTTTCTCTAGTCTTACTTCTTGAGTTATTTGAGTAAAATCTGTAAGAAAGAAAAATGTGAATACTGATGTTTGAAAGTAGATTAAAAGTATCTCTAGTCTTTAATATACAACTCAATACATATGTGCTTCTGATTTTACACTATTCATTGTTTCTTTGTTTAGACTCTTCATTCATATTTTATTTTGCTACCAGAAATGGTATTCTGTAATATTTAAAACTTTTCAAGTGAGATGACAAAAACAACCCAAAATAAAACAATAAGTGGTTAACACTGGTATTATAATCCGTTGTGAAAATATAAGAAAACCCAAAGCATGAAACTGTTAGTCAAACCCATTATGCTGAGCTAAGGCTGGACAGCACAGAGCCTACCTAACATAGAATTTATTTTTTCAAAGATTGCCAGACAGCCAATCTCATTGGAGTTCTGGGATAGCTCTCAGCTTAAATTTGTGTTTTTTCATCAATATAAGTATTTTGAGTGTCATTTCACCTTTTTAAACTATTTGCAATTCCTCTTTTGTTGCCTGGAAATTCAAAGACATCATTCTTTTCTCTTGAGTTGAATGTCACATTGTTAGGAGATCTCAGTAACTCTAGATGTAACTTATTATTCCCACTGTGTCTCTTTGGAGCTATTTCAGTTTATTCATATACCCCAACATTTATGTTCTTTTGTTTTTTCTCCAATTTCCCTCTTTATTTCTTCATTTTGTAGCACTTTCTTATTTTCTGCAAACATAAGATAGCATTGTATATCTTCTCCACATTTTGCTTTCCAATATCCCATGCCTTATATTTTCCCCAGCTCTTTTGTGTATTGGTACTGGGTCTTAAATTCAGGATCTTGTTTTTCTCCAAGACTACCACTTTACCACTTGAGTCATTCCCCCACTTCTAGCTTTTTGGTGATTAATTGGAGGTAATAGTCTTTTAAATTTGTCTGCATAGGCTTGCTTCAAAACTCAATCCTCAATTCTCAGCCATGTGAGTTAGAATTATAGGCATGAGCCACCTCACCCAGTTTATTTGGTCCTGATTTTATTAAAATACAAATATGTAAATAAAAGAAATTACAAATGTATAGCTCTGAGTTATCAGTAGTAGGCAGTTATAGCAAAGAATATTTTAAACACGTAAGCATCTTCCTTGTATACTCTAATCACTGTTCTTCTCCCTAAAGCTAATAATATTTCCTGACATCTGATTGATGTTTTGTTCATATAAGTGTACTCATACATTATGTAGTATTTTTCTGTCTAGTTTCAATTAATATGAGACTCGGTAGATTATCAATAATGTATGAAATACTTTGACACGTACCATTTCATTATATTAATATATCATAATTTTCTATTTGTGAATGATAACGTGTGTTTAGAGTCACTGTCATTATTGTTGTTATAGACAATTAATATTCTTTAGGCTTACCATTTGTGAATACTTTTCTCCCCTTACATTAGCTTCTTAAATCTCTAGCTTCTGTATGGCATTATTTTTTCTTAATATTTGAGGAAAATCCTTTCAAAGCCTATTGTGATATTCTGCTAGTGGTGAATTTTGTCACTTTTCATTCAAAGGGTTTTTAAAATTCAATTTATGCATATTATCTATGTTAATTCAATTTATGTATATTTAACTTAGGGCCAGGGTGCTGTCCCTAAGCTTCTTTTGCCAACTAGCACTGTATCACTTGAGCCATAGCTCTGCTTCTGGAGTTTTGGTAATTTATTGGATATAGGAGTCTCATGGACTTTCCTGCCCAGGCTGGTTTCAATTGTGATCCTCAGATCTCAGCCTCCTGAATAGCTAGTTATTACAGCCATGAGTCACTAGAACCTAGCTTCAACTTAGTTTTTAAAAAAATTTTTTGGGGGGTCCGGTCGTGGGGCCTGAACTCTGGGCCTGGGCTCTGTCCCTCAACTCTTCAGCTCAAGGCTAGCACTCTACAACCTGAGCCACAGCACCACTTCCAGCTTTTTTCTTTTTGCTTATGTGGTGCTGAGGAATCGAACCCAGGGCCTCAGGCATGCAAGGCAAGTGCTCTAC